ATCGATGTAAGTACGGTGGATGATGGAGTCACCGATCTCACATCGGATGACGAGGGCGTCCCTGTGTGACTCCGTACCCGGAGGCAGATCCTTGTCGGTGAAGGTGATCGCCTCCATTCGCTGCTTCTTCGGCTGGGGGGGAACGTGGGACACCTCCCCAACGTAAAGGGATTGGGCCCATTTCTTTCTCTGAGTGGCGGAGTCCCCCCCAGTGTTCCCACCTACGATGAGGTGGATGTGATTTTTCTTTGGCGGAGGCTCCTCGAAGTCCTCGTCGTCGCTGAGCCTACCAATCTCGCGCTTCTTCACAGAGGGTTCGCCCCCCATGTTTGCCAGTGTTTACCCAAGTGTTTTTTTGTGGGCCACCTTTGACAAACTGGGAGAGTTCCCCCTGGCGAATAAGGCGCTCGATGGCCTTCTTCAATGTGATGCAATCGTCGGTGTTGTGCGACGAGTTCTTGTGGAACCGGCAGTACGTGTCGCCCTGCTGGATGGCAAGGATCTCCTCGGCCGGCCGAGGAGCTTGCTCGATGAGGCCGTGCTTCTCGGCATAATCGAGGATGGTGCCGACCGGGTGGGTGAGGGTTACCCCCGGCCGTTCCAGCCTCGGCCGCCAGTGGCGGTCTTTCTTACTTTGTCCACCAGAGCCGTGGCGGCCCTGGGCACCCTGGCCGGCCGGGGACGGACCCGAGGCCGGTGAAGGATTTGTCTTCTTGGGGGGATGGCCCCCCTCTCTCTTGTGATTGTGGAGCTCGTCGGCGTCGGCATACAAGCCTCCGCGCTGGAGCGCCTTGGCGTACGACCTCGGGGGGTCGGTGATGAGGCTCCTGGCGTACGGGGAGCTGCGGAGGGCTCCCTGGTACAAGGCGAGGAGGGTGCGCTCGTCGGCCCCCTCGACCTCCTCGGTCTCCCTCGTCCACCGATCGATGAATGACCGGAGGGACTCCTCGTGCTGCTGCTTGACGGAGAGGAGGTGGGTGAAATACTTCTTGGCGCGCTTCCTCCCAGCAAAGTGAGTGAGGAAGCGCTGGGCGAGATCCTGCCATGAGTCAATGCTTCCTTCTGGCAGTCCGTTGAACCACTCGTACGCTGGCCCCTCGAGAGTAGAGAGGAACCAACGGCAGAGGTATTCGTCGGACGCGTTCACCATCAACATGTTGTTCTGGTAACGGCTGAAGTGCTCCTGGGGGTCGGATCGGCCATCGTAGGACTTGATGGCGTTCCCCCTGTACTTCTCAGGGATGGGGGCCGAGAGGACCCTGTTGGTGAAAGGGGTCCTAGTCCTGACCTGGATGATGGGGTCACCCCGCCCTTCGGCCAGCTCCCTCTCCAGGGCGCTGACTTTGTTCATGAGCGCGTTGAGGCCGGGGTCGTTGGAGGCGCCGGCCGTAGGGATGTTGGCCGACTGCTTGGCCTCCATCTGAGCCAACCTCCTTTCCAGCTGGGCGATGACCTCATCCCGGGGGTCCCTGTCGGCCGCGGCGGCACCCGGCTGGTTCCTCAGGCGCTCGTTGTGAGCCGCGTTGATCTGGTGACGCACGTCATCCTCGTGCAACTTCCCCTTGCCCTTGTCCGGGCGGGGCTGGTCCGCTATCCGGGACACAGACCCCAAACTCTCCCTTGGCGAGCCAGGACGAGGATCACCAATCCGTCCCGCCATCCTCTCCGAGACCGGACGACGGCGCGTGTCACCTAGCCTATTGAAGGCAGAGGCTTTTCCACGCGCTGGGGTCTGCCCGGGCCGAAGAAGGGAAGCAGGGTGGGAGTGGGACGACGCCGTGTCCTGGGCCACAACCCCCTCATTGTTGCCTATCTGGTCGGCCAGTGGTTGGTGATGAGGAGGTGGAGTGACGTTTCCCCCGGTCCTTGGCAAGAGTGCGCTGAGGACGGTGGGATTCTGAGCCAAGCTGGCGATGATGACCGATAGTGCGGCCTGGACCTGAGGGTCTACGGACGGAGAGGCCGCGGCCATAGGCTGGGCCGGGGCGCGGTCCGCTTTCTCAGCTCGTTTCTTGTCCAAGCCGAGGCGGGCATCAGGGGCGCCGCCGTTGAGTTGGTTGCGGAGGTCCGTTGTGAGGTTGAAGGCCTCCTGGAAGAGGTCCCCTCCGCCGACCTGGTCGGCCGTGGCGTCCTCATCGTGCTCCCTGGGCTCTTGGTCCTCAGGGATGGCTTTGCTGACGAGGTTGCGGTTTGACTTAGTTCTCCCCATGATCAGTGGTTAGCTGTGCTTGGTAGCGACGAAGGGTGCTAACTTGATTGTTCTAGCTCTCAACGAGAGCACCAAATGATAGAGTATATCTCTTAGATTCTAGAGAGAAGTGAGAGCTAGAGAGAGAAGTGCAATAATATGCTTCAATAGAATGAATTTGTAACCCCCACAACTACTTCCAAGGGGAGTATTTATAGAGAAAATTAGGGTTGGGCTCCCAAGCCTTGGGCTTGGGAGGCCCATTTACAACTGGACCGCTACTGGGCCGAATACAAAGCCTCTAATGGGCTGTACAAATGAGTAAGTATAGGATCCGATTCTGGAAGGTCCCCGTGGCCGACGAGGGCGTGGCCGACGAGGGCACGGCCGACGAGGGCATCCGGGTTCCTTGGACTCAGGACCATGATCCGAGTTGGCTTCTTCTCGGCCGACGGGGGCGTCTTGGCCGACGAGGGCGTCTTGGCCGACGAGGGCGCCACTCTGTTGTCTTGTGCTCTCTGTTCTTCCGAGTATGTGGGTCCTGGGGCTCAGACCCATATACTCCATCAAAGGACATGATCAAATATTATTAATTAATGAGAAAATAGAATACACACGCATAGCTAGTACGGAAGAGTAAGATTGTTTTATCTTAATTAAAATATTCTGATTTTTAGATTCCTCATAGCTTATGATTTTAACATTAATAAAAATAAAACAAAAATCAATTTGAATATAACAAAGTAAATTGCAACTCATACAAGTGTCCTTCTCTTATACTAGTGACTACCATTCCAAATTAAATTGGCAATATTATTGCGGACTTCCTTCATCTCACTTGATGTGTTGGTATATGTAGCATCACTCGAATTTGTCTCTTGTGCATCCTCTAGGTCCTCATTTAGGTCGTAGTCTGGGTTATGCAATGCACTAGCTGCAATGCAAAGGCTGCCACTATCACATGCATAAATTTGTGTATAGTTATGCAATGCAAAGGCTGCCACTATCACCTGCATCAATGTGTGTATTAATGCTAAGTTTTGGCATTGTTTTAATATCCCCATGTCTTCTTAAGTACTTCAAATGATCTCTCAATACAACTATGGAGTGATGAGTGTGCATGATTAAAAGCTTCCTTAGCATTAGTGGGCAACTCATTCGCAAACTGAGACTGATGATTTATGATCTTTGGATATGGTACGAGATACCCTTTTCGATCAGGGTAGCCTTTATCTACCAAGTAATATCGACCTACAAAGAACAAGTTTAGTTTATTATACAAAATAAATTTATAAACAATAACAATCACATACATTGAGGCGGATGTGAAAATTTCATAGAATGTGTCTCAATTGAGTGTAGAAAATCATGTGTATCATGAGCACATGCCTCCCACCCAACAGATATAAATGTGAAGCACATATCAAAATCATACGAGAAGAATAATTGATTGTTATTTGAATAAAGTGAAAACCAAAGAATATGATGTTGAAGAGGATGAAAGGCTCGAGGTGTGCAGGGTATTGCGAGGATTACAGGGCCGGCCCAGGCCATGTTAGCCCAGTACAACCGCACAGGGCCCGGTTTTTAAAGGGCAAAAAAATAATTAGTACTCCGTATTAGTTTTACCCCAGCCCAACCCACTAGGTTTGGGATCGGTTCGGTTTTTGTTAAAATTCGGTGGAACCGTATAAAAATCGTAGACGTTAAATTCGGTTCGGTTCTAGTTAAAAATATAGTTGTTAAATTCGGTTCGGTTCTAGTTAAATTCGATTCGGTTCCTACAATTTTTTCGGTTCCTTATAAAAATTTATTATCCTCCTAAAATGAACACATTTTACCTTCAGTTACATAAAAAAATTCAAATTTTAAATCATGAAATTATGACCATTACATTATACATGCATGATATCTCAATGTTCAAATATAAAAAAAATGCAAGTGCAACATTAAATTTAAACTTAACAAAAATCTCTGTTTAAAATAGGCATCAACCGTCAAGCAAAAAGATTCAATAGCTCCAAAGTACACATCCAATAGCAGGTAGTTCAAACCCAAAATAATATTCTTCTACTTGTAATGCACAATAAGTAAAAAGTGCGTAGTAATAAACAACGTAATCAATAGAATATTAATTCCTTTTTGAGGTTAACTCTAATAACAAATACAATTACAAAAAAACAATAAATATAAAAGTGGACTAAAGTATTAAAATAACAACTACTCGGATTGACCTGATGCACAATATATAAGGTATATTATGTAAAACAAATTTTTTTGACAAAACTTTTCTTCCCGGAACACCGTCTGGCCATCTCCATTTGATGTGCTTCCGTGTAGATTTTTTTGATAAAATTTTGTGAGCATGTTCTACATGAAATGTAGATTATATATACTAAAGTTTAGCTCAAAATGCAATCGGGAAGTGAGTTAAATAAAATATTGAAAAACATTATGTTTTTATATATATTTTGGCGTAATGCTTTTCAATGATTTATTTAACTAACTTACCAGTTTCATTTTAAGCTCAAATTTGGTGGACATAATCATTATTTTATGAACAATAAGCTCACAAAATTTCATCAAAAAATTCCACCTAGAAACACCTCAAATGAAGATTACTCATGCAATGTATAAAAAATTCGGTTCCCGATTAGGAATCGGAACCGAACCGAAATTGAACCGATGAAATACTATAGGAACAAAATCGAAAAAAGCTGAAGTACAAAATTATAGGAACCGAACCAAACCGGAAATTTCAGTTCGGTTCGAATCTGTTTTCGTGGTTTTACTGTTCTAAAGTCCTAGACCTACAATCCAGCTTTACCCAACAGCATTCCCGTTGCCCAGAGTCCCAGTCCGCTTCATCCCGGCTCCGCAGTCCGCACACCTTGTGCCGCACGCCCGCACTGCCGCACGCCCGCACTGCCGCACACCGCCACACGGCCCTGCAGCGCCCAGCAGCTCCGCCCCTCTGCAGGCCAGCCGGCAGCCACCATCCACCATACCACCACGACCTGCGGCCTGCCGGCCGCCTCCCGACCCTCAGTCCCTCACGCTCCCGAGTCCCGCCTCCTTGACCGGTCAGTCACTGATTTTCAATTATTTTATTCATTTAGTTGCTAATCCTTGTGAATTTTTGAATTATTGAATTGATGAATTGTTTGTTAAATTCTTGTGAATATTTGAATTATTGAATTGATGAATTGTTAGTTGAATTTTTGATTTATTATTGAATTGATGAATTGTTGTTATTTGTTGATTTTTTGAAGTTAAAGTAAATCATTATTTGAATTAATAATAGATGTATAAATGTGTTTAGCAATTAAAATTTAAGAAAGTGGTATAAATATATTATTAGGTAACTTGATGTCGATAAATTTTAATTATACACTACTTTGTTATTCATGTTTTCACCCTAATTTTAAACTGAATATTAATTTAAAATTTATAAACATGTACAGGATTATAAAAGAATTTCAATAATTGGTAATAATTATGTTTCCATATAAATACCAATCCGGTTATGAGAAGCGTCAAAGGAAAAGAAGACTTGACGAGTTAACCCAGTCTCAAAAAGGAGCTCTTGATAAGTTTATTATTAAAGAAGTTAGAGATGTTCAAGAGGGTGTGAACAACAAGATGTGAATGCTGAAAATAATGTTGAAATACCTGATCAGTGTGCTTGTGTTGAAACTTGAAAAAAGGCCCAAATTTTATTATTGCACAGGGCCTCTGTTTTCTCGGGACTGGCCCTGGCGAGGAATGAAAATTTTTTGAAAAGGGCTTTTGGGTTGAACGCTACCTTGTGTAGCATCTCATAAAAGACGACCTAGATGTCTCATAAAAGCTATTGGGCTAAACACACAACTTGAATCCTTTAAGGTCTTTTAAAATAATAGAAAAGATAGAAGCTACCAACTTTTGTGTGTCAAACATGCTCATAGTCTTGATTTCTTGAACAAAGAAACTATGTAATTAAAAGTTGTTAAATATGATCGGAAAAACCCTTAATACAGTCTTGATTTCTTGAACTATACAGTTTTGATTTCTTGAACAAAGAGTATTTTGTATTATTTCGGTGTGGGCAGCGCAGTGCTTTTTGTGCAGTCAAAAGCTTGTCTGAATTCTTAGATTAAGGGTTGAATGGTTATCATCACGGTGTAGTTTTTTTAAATATTGCAATGAGTAACGAAAGAGAGCCAGAATTTGGGGAACTTGGGGAGGGTGATTTTGGCATGGGAGAAGAAGCAAGAAAAGAATTGGTAATTGAACATGGCAAAGAAGAGGGATATATGCTATGCAGTGAAAACGGTTAGGGAACCAATTCTAGTATCATCCTCGAACAAAAAGGCTAATGAGACGTTGATCGATCATCTCAGTGCATTGCCAGACTCCTTACTTATTTATATTCTCTCCCAACTTGGTATTTGTACAGCCGCTACTCTTTCTGTGTTATTGAGAAGGTGGAAATTTCTTTGGACAGAATTGCCTGGCTTAGACTTTTGGGAAACTAGGGGAAAAGTAGATATTGTGCCTTGGGTTCATAAGACTCTTCTCCTTCGTAGTGGAATTTGTTTGCAGAGGTTTATGATTTCCTTTTGGTTCACAAATTGCTTTGCTTCAGATGTAAATGCTTGGGTTCATTTTGCTGTAAAAAAATAAGGTAAAAAAATCGATTTGTTGCTACAATCCGAAAAACACTTCTATAGGCTTCCCCTAGTGTTGTTTTGTAATTCGTCATTGGAATTGCTGTCGGTGCAATGATGCACTTTGGATCCTCATAGAACAATACATTGACAATCTTTCTCTCATCTGCGCATTCAAAGTGTAGAGTGGAGTGAGGATGTAATCCAAAAGATATTATCTGGTTGTCCAGTTGTGTATTGTTTAAATCTGGCAGAATGTTGGGTATTCAATTCTCTGGAGGTCAATTCTCAAAGTCTTGATTCACTTGGTGTATCAGTGTGTGAAGATAAGACGAGTAAACATTTGGTTGAAATCCCAGCACCCTATATTAGGACATTCTATATAAGACTTGATCCTTGAATAACAAAGATGCATCTCAACAACTTACCATCTCTTCTTGATGCTGATATTGAATACAATGTGTTTCATAGCTCTGTGGAAGTGATGAATAACACCATGGAACTTCTTGAAAAGCTTCAGCGTGTCAAAGATGCTCCTACTTGGTTGTTGGTTCATCTACTAAATCGCATCCTAAACTATGGTTCAACATGTGTCATGGTACAATTTTTCTTTAATTTTTGAGTCTGCAATCTGCTTCTTTGGTTTTCAATTTTTCATCTTCTCCCAAACTACTTTTTTTAATCAAAGACAATAAAGATTCAAATGATATGAGATAATAAGAAGGATACTAGGGGTGGGCACGGTTCGGGTCAGTCCGGGTAATTGACAAAATTTTAAGAACCGTCGGTTCCATTTAACGGGTAAGTTCGGTCTGGGTATACCAAATCTCAAAATAGGAACCGGACCTTTCCCAAACTAATCAAGTATTAATGTAACCATAATATAGTAAAACTTCAAAATAAAAATATAAAAAACAAAATTTTCAATTAGTTAATAAAATATTTAACCACAAATCAATAAATTAAACAGAACACAACCACCTAAATTAAAAAATGTTAATCATCATTCATAAACTAAAAAAATAGCACTATAAAGTCATAAGAAATTATATTAGTTACTCTACATAAGAAAAAATTAAGATTATTAAATGACTATGCACACTTCATTGAGCAACATTCTTTATTTACAAAAAAAATATTGAAGAAAGAAAATTTGATGCATTTGGAATAACGAATCGGGGGAAATATTTAGGAGTTTATATAAACTTGGAAACTCTTTTTAGTTGATTGACAAGTTTCTTCAATTGAGTGTCATTGTCTAGACATAAGAACATGAAGAGCTTTCGAGTGTTATTAGTATATTATATTAAATATAATGGAGTAATTAAATAATATATTAAAACGGTTCGGTCTGGGTACCTGTTTTTTCAAATTTTAGTACCCGTTCGGTTCCTAAGATTTTAAGGACCCGCCCCACCCCAAACCGTTTGAGTTTTCTAAATTTAGGACCCGACCCTAACCCGCCCCGAACCTGTATTACCCGACCCGACCCGTGGTTCCTGTATCCGTTTGCCCACCCCTAAAGGATACACATTACTATTACCAGAAATGCCCCGTCAAAAGAGGGAGTCACGTTTTTGCTAAATACAATCACGTATTTTTTTAATTAAATAAAATTATTTTTATTCCTACTATATCCTTGAACCAAAAACACCAGCATACCTTTATGATGGCCGGAACAATGGCAGTCTTAACGACCTCGACCATTGGAAGTTTCTCAAGAGAGTAAACCTTCACCCAAGCCAGTGCTAAGCTAAAAAAAGCAGGATTTCATATCTGTAATTATGCGGTTCAATCACAGAAAGGTTCCAACTCGCAAAGTAAGGTCAAGGCCTTAGATTCTGTATACGAAAAAAATTGACCAAGAAGAATGAAGAGATGAAATACAGTTTGGAAGAAGTGGCTTTCTTGGAAGCAAGGTTGTTAAAATCGAGATCCTAGCACGGATCGGACGGGGTCTAGGAGATCGTAACTCGGATCGTAAGATCCTACCATGCAATATATATATATATATATATATATATATATATATATATATTCACATGTATATACAATTAAATTCTATGTAAACACTGAATTAATTGATATTATTAATAATAATAACATACTCTCAATAAATTGCAAAACATTTGAGAAGTCAGAATGAGAATCAATAATATAGCCCAGCAGTTTTTTTGTTTGCTCAGAAGTCAGAATCACTATTAACCCCTTTACTAAAGTGGCTTTAGTAAAGTGGACTAGAAGCGGAGGATTTTAATCAAGGCTAACGACACAGAGAGATGAAGATAAGCACACAACACAGAGTGATTTAACGTCGCTAAGCCTTCGTTCATCGTAAGTAGCTATATTTAATTTTTTTCAAACTCGTCGTTTTAGACTTCAATGGCGCCCTTCGTTTCCCGTTTTTGAACCAAGTAGTCGCAGCTCGTTTAGATCGACGAGGCTTACGATTTACGATCCTACCCAACAATCTGCCGATCCCAGGTCAATTTCCGATCTAAGCAGCGATCTGAGTCGATTCCCCCTCTTCAGATCGCAAACTCGTACGATCTTACGAGTTACCTCGCGATCTTAACAACCTTGCTTGGAAGAGAACATGAGGAACAAAGGAAGATAAGAGAAAATGGGAGTTTGACGGCAAAGAACATTGACCGGCTATTACTGGTAGAGTACCCCAAATTGCTTTTTTAATTAAATCACTGCACAGGCCAAACAATATAGTCCACCTTGCCACCATCTCCATCATCGGAATCGAGATCAACCCCGTCAAGAGCTTCAGTGTTGCGTCATCTACATTAGTAAACAAACGGGTGTTAACACTGAATCTTTGGGTTGGGTCATTCTTCAGAGCTCTGGCCGCTGCCGTCCTAGGAGAATTAGCAAAGGAACAACCTGCAGTGATTTGGAGTGCTTTTAGCTTGAATCACATCCAGCTGTCAACAAAGATGACAAAACTATGATTCTGGATTTTATAGTTATTCCGGGCATGATATAAGGATATATTGGACATTCTTTTTATATTTAATTAATTGATTTTAATTGGGGGCTGTGAATAGTAAATCATGGGCTGTATATAGAATTACCCTCAACAAACCCTTTTCTCACTCAACATATGCAAACAATTTAGACATTACAAAAAGGCCCACTACTCCATCAATTGGCCCGCTTCTGTAGCTCACTCCCATTTTTTGTTTTCTTCTCCTCGTTGGCTGATGGGTTGGATGAGTGTTCATCCACACCCGATCCAACCCGTCTTTCAATCCACCCGTCATCCATTTTTCATCCATAATTTTTCGGGTTTTCGTCCACATTTTTGGTTCGGATTGATCGGGTATCCGCGGGTGCGGGTGATATTGCCAGCCCTACTCGTTGCGTCACTTGCCTAGAGGCAGTTGGTGTGGGACGTAGACCAAAAAAATGAAAAATATTCGAGACCCATTTTATTCACCTCTCCCACGAGGATGAATATCACCCCTCCCCATCATGCATGCCATTTGGCATAATTTTTTTCTAATGTATTATTACTTTTTGGGAAAAGGTGCAAATAAGCCCTCGAATTAACCGAAAAAGTGCAAATCACCTCTTTTATAGGAGGCTCTGTCTGGCCGTTGCCATTTGGGGCGGTTACCGGTGGAATTTTTTGATGAATTCTTTTGAGCATCTTTTTCATTAAGTCTAGTTTACTCATACTATATTTCAAGTAAAAATTCAACCGGGAAAGCAGTCAAATGTATTTTCGAAATACACTGTGCTGTTTAAGTGCGCAGTTATCATCAAACATTTATTTGACTGCCTTCACGATTGAATTTTTAGCTGAAATTTGATATGAGTAAACTAGATTTAATGAAGAATATGCTAAAAAAAATTCATCAAAAATTTTTACCGGGAACCGCCTCAAATGGAGACGGCCGGATCGAGCCTCCTATAAAAAAATACATCAGATTTAATAACTTTATACGTATGATCTTCCTAATGGTATCAATGTTGCATATAAAATCTTTTTTCTCAAGTCTATTTTTAGTCAGATTTGTTTTTTATCTTTACACATACAATGTTGTCACCATATAAAAGATCATAACAAGTTAAACATATTGATATATTTTTTGAAAATTTGAACAAGAAATGAAAAAAAAATACGTAACAATTATGTAAAATTAATTAAAATGTATTGTCATACTCACAATAGTTGTTCCACCCGCCACCCCCTACTCAACACCTACAATTGTTAGATCTCGGCCGCCACATCTCGGCCCTCAGCCTCCAAACACCATTTCTGCAACCACGACCCCTGCCCTATCTCAGACCCTGTCTCAAGTCTCTCGACCACCTCCCCTGTCCAAGAGCTATCGTAACACCCAGGGGCGGAGGGAGGGGGTGGCCTGGCTGGGCCATTGCCCAGGGCAACGTTTTTTTTAAATTATATATATTGTTTTAGTTTGTTTTTATAAATAGGCCTAGTGTAAAATTAAAATTGGCCCAGGGTAGAAAATGATGGCCCAAATAAAAACAGTCCAGCTCAAAGTCTCCAACAGTCCAGGCGTCCAGCTGCAATCCAAACCAAGAGGCGCCGGCATCACGGATTCACTGCTTCAGGCCATCTCCAACAGTTTACACCATTTACTACACTAAAATGGTGTAAACATCACATCATACAAATTGTTTACACCATGATACAATATTTTATCTCCAACGGTTTACACCATTTTCATCACCAAAAAGGAATATTCCCTTTTTATTCTTTTTACTAACTTTTTACCATTCTTCTATTTAAGTATCTAATTATCATATATTTATACATTAACCCCTCATTTAATATTTTGACATTTCACACATTATTTCACACATACAAACTAAAATACACCATTTTAATATGTATTTTCACGCATTTCACTAATTAAAATACAATAATCAATATTTTACAAATACAAGCTAAAATCATGTAAAATTAAATATTACAATAATATTATAATAATTCCTACTTCATTAATAAAATGCTAATAAAGAAAAAGTATGCTGCGTCCTATCTCTACAGAAATATGGCGCATCCCACTTTGGGTCACTTTTGTAAAAAGAAATAATAGAAGGGGAAGATGGCGCATCCCTACTCTGCGCCAAATATGGCATAAAAAATAAACCCCTCCACCATTTTAGTGAAATAGGGTAGGATTTGGTGTAACTGTTGGAGCTAAAAAATGGCAATTACTCTATTTTGGTGAAGGTTTTGGTGATTGTTGGAGATGGTCTCAGGTTTCACGCAAATGCCAAACGGTAAACCAGCGCCGCAACATTCACGGAAAAACAGACCAGCGGGCATCAGTAATCGCCGGACGTCGTCGACTCATGGACTCGCCTTCTGCTCGCTGACTAGCCTGATTCACTGCTTGCAGACTGCACGGTGACTCGTCGGACTGTCTTCTTCTCGCTTGGACTCCAGAATCCGGTAGCTTCTGCAGTTCTGCTTTTCCTCTCTTCAAAGTCGCTGCTTGAAGCAGAGCCGCAGCCAGCAGAGGTTAGGATTTCTTTTTTAGTTTTTGTTAAATTGATTTGTTAATTAAGTATTTTATTTGTTAAAGGATTTCTAATTATTTGGTAATTAGGTATTTTATTTGTTAAATTAGTTTGTGTTAGTGATTAGTGTGTCACAATTGATTTGTGTAATTGTGTGCTTTGAATTGTGAAATAGAAAATTAGGAATGTCAAATGTTATTTGTGAATTTTTGAAAATATTAATATGAATTATATGAATTAAAATAAAGTATTGATTAGTATTTTATTTTTTTGATAATTTTAGTAGTTATGGCTACTCAATCTACTTCCAAAAAGGCAAAAATCACATTGTGTTCGCTTTATAAGCCTAGTACAAGCACACAAATAAAGTAGACAAGAGCTAAATGTCTCAATTGAAACTCCTAATATCTCATTCGCTCAAGAGGAAGTAATTTCTTATACACTTGAAATTGAGCGGAATCCGGGAAAACGCAAAACGATGAGTGATTGGCCGTTAGAGAAAAGAGATGAAATTAGACGATCTTATTTAATGCTTTGACCTTATCATTCGAAATTGAATTTTTATAAAGGCCGAGTTTACAAAGATAGGATGTGTCGTTTTCAAGCCAATTGGTTCAATGAATTTAATTGGTTGGAATACTCTCCAACACATAAGGCATGTTGTTTTCCATGCTTTCTCTTCAGTGATGTTGTGCATTCCTCTTGTGTTTCGGCTTTAGTGACTACTGGTTTTGATAGTTGGAAACGAGTTCACCAGAAATAAAACGAGTTCAGTTAACGTTTTAGTTTCAAACATTGTATGTATTGTTTAAAAATATCACTATGAATTTTAATGGATTTTAATCGTTATGTTCACACTATTGTCGCTTTTAATGTTTTTAGTGTATAGTCGGCCTAGGGTAAACATTGGTCCTGGCTACGCCTTTGGTAACACCCTAACCCGCCCCTCACCCCAGCTTGTCAACCATTACGCCGCTCGCAAAATTCCACCAGGAGAAGAAAGATGGAGTAAAACTTTCCAGACTTCATCCATTTGCCCACTTCGAGACATTGCTGCAGAGGACTCTTGGAGCCGGCCAGAGAAGCAGAGAACCCTTTTCACCCTTTTACTCAGTCTTCTAGTGCTCGGAGTCTCGCAAACTCAGTCCTCCTGCCCTTGAACATCTAACCTTCTGTGGACTGTGGACCTGTGAATCTGCGATTCTGTCCAGCCCCTTCGGCCCTTGCCTTGCTTCTCACCTTCTGGTGCTCCGTACTAGACACTCCTCATCTCCTATTTAAACTCTTTTAGTCTTTTATTTATTATTTGAATACTTTGATTGATTTGATTAGTTCATTAGTTTATATGTGTTGAATGTTGATAAATGATTAGTTGGTTGTTGTTGGCTAAGTTTTGATTAAGTCATACTCATAAAGCATCGTTGTTGTTTGTTGTATGTTAATTTGTTCTCCACTTGTTGATGTTGCCGTTGATTGATTTCAATAGCTATTTAGTTGATCAGTTAATAATTGTTAACTTGTTGAATTTTAAGTGATTAGTGATTTTTCTGTTATGTAATTCAATTTAGAATTTCTAGTAGTGTTATAATTTAAGCATAATGTGATAGAAAAGCTTGGTTAGGAAGTTATTGTTCATCATTTTGCTTCACAATTCTCAGCAAGAAATGTATTTGAGTATTTTTTTATTCTCTTTTTTGTTACTGTATTATTTTGTATCCATGATTCTACTTTGTTTGATTTAACGATTTAATGAATTAAGAAGTCTTTTCTTTATTTTAAAGGCTTTGAAACATATTATTATGCATGTTAGTTTAGACAGAATTTTTTATATAATTTCTTTAAAGATTAAGCCCGTTATAAATTACTGGCCCTACCTCCCCCTTCTCATGGACTCTCAGAAGGTTAACAGAAGAGCTTCCTGATATCCCATCGGTTTCAATCTCCTCTCACTATTCCCACCGCCGTATAGGTCTAACTCACAGAAGGTAAAAGCAATTATATTTACTTATTTTTCATTGATAGCCTTATGCCCCACCCATTTATCTGTTTCTAATTTAGGGTTTATAACGAATATCGAAGTGGATTTCTGACTTATTGAAGGATTTCACTCTTATAATTATTCATATGGGGGTTTGTTATTTTAAAGTGTTTTATGCTTTTATTCTGTTTGGTAAGTCTGTAAGAGTATCCACTTCTCTTTGTTGTCATAATTTTGGAAAGTATTTTTATTACTGGCTTACTACCCTTGTTGAACTTTTTTTATCATGGCAATTTGTTCCTTAAAATATATCACTCACGAAACAGTATACAGTTGTGTATATGAATATATCTATGCATGTATACAGTATACATAGGTACATACATATATTTGTGCACGTAGTTGGTAATCTAATATGGAGTATGTAGTACAATGTTGCTACCTTTTTTTGCAATTTTACATAAAAAATCTGTAAGCTTATAAGAACAGACTCAAAGGTAGGGGTGGGCAAGAAAAACCGTAACCGCTTAACCGTGGTAAATAACCGAAAAACGGTATTTTTATCGGTTAACCATACCATATTTTTAAAATCATGCGGTACGGTTAACCAACCGATAGAAAAAACGGTTATGATACGGTTACGGTTTTGAAATTAAATACCGCCGGTTAACCGATAATTCAAAGTTAAGTATTACTCCCAAACTTATAGTTACGTTTTGCAAATTAATTCATGTGTCAATTTTAGCCAAATGCTAAAATAGTAAAATTAACTCATTGTCAATTAACTCATCTGTCAAGCCATGGAACACATATGTCTATCAATGGTCCATCCTAAGTCTTTCTTCGAATACGTGGGTGTTGCAATCAGCACTCAGTAGGCATATCATAGGGGAGATTGGAGGTAGAGATGTAGAAGAGAGCTGGAAGGAAATTAGGAATGAAGGAATCCTTAGGACTATCAGAAATGCCTCGCGAATGAACAGGGCAGGGAAGATATGGCTGAAAATAGTTTTTTATGGTTTTTTGGTTAACCAATTAACGGTTAACCTATATTACGGTAAAAGTTACCCGGTTAACCGTCATAACGGTACGGTGATTGATATTGTAAACATGCTAACCAATATCCCGGTTAACCATAAGTTGGTTAACCAAAAATGCGGTTAACCAACCGTGCTCACTCCTACTCAAAGGTATGTTCTTCTTGACAAAGGATGTACACTACACAGCACAATTTGAAAATAGTTTTTAAAAACTCTTAGAGTTTTTCAGTGGTGCTCATTTTCCAAAACTTTGCTGCTATTTATAAGAAAGTTTATGTGTGTTTGTGCCTTGGCATTTATAGTGATGTAATATCATCATAGGTCAATATCCACTTTTTTTCGTAGGTTACTATCCACATGGCTCAAGAAGTAGCTGCGTAATATCACACGGTATGGTTTTTTTTGTTTTACATTATTATTCGTATTTTTTATGGATTTTTTTCTATACGACAAGGTAAGGTGTATTTATTCCTGTGGAGCTCTTTAGGTGGGAACATAATCGCTTTTTCTTTGACAGATTAATAAAATATTTTCAGTCTTTTCATTCTATCATTTTATATAGCTTTATTTTTCATTCTTAAATTAGGATAAGTGTATCTGTGCTTCAAAACAAGTTGACACAATGCATAGTCTGAATCTCATTTAGGCATAATTTTATGGTCGAGGTTGGTACGGAACATTACACACAATGCATAGTGCATCACATGTTCCTTCATGTAAAGATTTGTTTTTGTGTTTTGTTTTTAGGTAACAAATATTAAGCCGCAAAGAGAAAGATGTGGAAAAGTTGGACTGCATTTTCCTTTTGCTCATAGTATGATGCACCAACGGCTAACACTCCTACGGCGTAAGGTGTTTCGTAATGCTTCCTTTTTAGCACAGAGAAAATATGCTGAAGTGGCAAACCCTTTAAACACTTTCAAAAAGAGTGGGTTTCTTCTGTTTAGACAATTTGTACACACCTCTACACCTAATCGAAAGGAATGGGACCCGAATGATCCAGCTACCTTGATGAAGGAGGATGGGGTTTCAGTCTGCACCAAAATGTGGATTGAGAGTTTCCGTGAACCGGAAAAAACCGTGACCAATCTCATCGATTATTTGAGGAGATTTGAGCTGTGGGTTTTGGCATACCAGAAAGTTTATGCGGATGACATTGGTTCTTATATGCCCCGAAGCTCAATAACAAGGTCAACTCTTGAGGATTTGTTGGCTTTGAGAAATGCAGTTCTTGATAATAGGTTTAAGTGGGGGGCAAGATTGGATTTTTTAATAAAATCTCCTAGAGATAAAACAGACTATGAATCATTATCTAAGAGAAAAGTCAAGGCTATACTAACTACCACTCAGCCATCCCCTTTTCAGGATAGAATCGTTCAAGAGGTTCTGTTTCTCATTTTGGAGCCCATTTATGAGGCCCGTTTTTCTGAAAAATCGTTTGCATTTAGACCAGGAAGGACTGCACATACTGTTCTTAGAGTGATCCGGAGGAGCTTTGCAGGCTACCTGTGGTACATGAAGGGTGATTTGAGCACAATATTAGATGGAATGAAGGTCGGACTAGTGATAGGTGCAATGATGAGGGATGTTAGGGACAAGAAAGTCATAGATTTGATCAAGTTGGCTTTAACTACTACAGTGATCACCAGTAGGCCTGAGGATGGCGAGAAGAAGAAAAAGACAAAGAGGAAGTACCAAAAGAAAAGAGTTCTAGCAGAGGATGAACCAAAACCTGATCCATACTGGTTAGACACTTTCTTCGGTTTTGCGCCGGAAGAAGCTGAAAAACTCCCTTCCTGGGGTCACTGTGGTATACTGAGTCCACTTTTGGCTAACATTTGTCTTGACGAACTTGACCGATGGATGGAAGGCAAGGTAAAGGAGTTCTATCGGCCTTCAAAGAATGATGTCATTTGGAACAGTCCAGAAGGGGAAGTTGAACAAGGTAATACATCTTGGCCAGAATTTGTTCCCACAAGTGGACCAGATAAGACCAGGAAAATGGACTATATCCGTTTTGGTGGTCACATTCTGATCGGAGTGAGGGGCCCTAGGGCAGATGCGGCAACTCTTAGAAAACAGTTGATTGAGTTCTGTGATCAGAAATATATGCTCAAGCTTGATAATGAGAGCCTTCCTATCGAACACATAACTAAAGGTATTATGTTTCTTGATCATATCTTGTGTCGTCGTGTCGTTTATCCCACTCTTCGGTACACTGCCACTGGTGGCAAAATAATAAGCGAAAAAGGTGTGGGGACACTTCTGTCCGTCACGGCTAGCCTGAAGCAGTGCATCAAACAGTTTAGAAAACTAAGCTTTCTTAAAGGAGACAGAGACCCGGACCCACAACCATGCTTTAGAATGTTTCATGCTACTCAAGCACATACAAATGCACAAATGAATAAGTTGTTGGCTACAATGGTTGAGTGGTACAGATATGCTGATAATAGAAAGAAGGTTGTCAATTTCTGCGCATACATCATAAGGGGTTCCCTTGCAAAGCTCTATGCTGCAAAATATAAGCTTCGATCTCGGGCTAAAGTTTTCAAGATCGGTTCTAGAGATCTTCGACGACCTCTAAAAGAGAAAAAGGGACAATCTCCAGAATATCACCATTTACTTAGGATGGGTTTGGTGGAGTCAATTGATGGGCTGTTGTATACCCGCATGTCCCTTGTACCGGAAACTGATTATACCCCTTTTCCTGTTGGATGGAGGCCTGATCATGAGAAGGCATTGATGGAGTACATAATGCTTGACGATTCGCGAGCACTAGAGGAACAGAGGCACTGCTTACAAGAGCAAGGCCTCATTTCACCTCAGGACTACGTTTCAATGCTTGTTTGGAGCTACAAAAGAAATGCTTTAGCATTGGATTCACGCCCTTCTAGAGCAAATGATAAGATGGCTTCGGAAGATTTGCTATTGGATGGAAATGTGATTCAAACAGATGGAGGCGATGAAGATGACCAATGAGGTTTTCATGCAACACAAATGTAAGTTGAATGTGGTATTCTGTTGTTACAGAAAGCTGTGATTCTGTTTGAGTAAAATCTTTCAAGGGCATTTGATCCTGAAAAAATGACAGGGAATCAAAAAGAAATGCTAAGGGAAGTTAGTTCATTGTGTTTGGTTTTGTGATGGAAAATGAAAAAGGGAAGAGAAATATGATTAATGCTATTAGCTATCTCATTTACATTTGTTCAGATTTTGAATCTTTATATAATACAAATGAACAAATGAAATGGGTTTGAACAAATATGAGAATTAAATTTCGAAGGCTGAACCAATGATAAACTTTGATCAATATTTCTTTTCCTTCCAAATTTCTCATGTCTTTCCCTACATTATTCTTTCCTAGCATTTATATAGTTCGAAATAGACCCTTAGAAAAATTATCTACTCCGTAATATACTCCGTATTAAGTATAGGAAATGTTCTAATAAGACAAATCTTCCTGGAGTTGGAGAATATGTTGTACGCAATTTCTGGCATAAGTGACTTATTTGATTGCTTTTCATGTTCTTTCCTTTTCTATTTTTTAGTTTACTGATTGAATTTTTGTAGTATGTCGTATACTTTGACTTTTTTCAGATTGAGCCATTGAGGTTTTAAAGATTGATTTCCAGATTTGTACTTTTGATTTATACAAGGACTTTGATGACATCTAGAGCCGTCGAAATGGGCCGAAGCCCGCGGGTTGACCCATTTAAACCCATTTATTGGTGGGTTAGGGTTGAAAATTTCTGACCCATTTAGTTCACGGGTTTCGCGGGTCAACTCACGCGGGTTGTGGGTTTAAGTGGGTTGGCCCACCGGGTTGCGGGTTGGCCCGCGGGCCAATATACAAAAATATAGTTTTAAATTTTACTATCTTAAATATTATCCTTTTACTACCAATATTATTATAATTACAAATAAAAAATTACAACCATGGCAAAACAATATATATTTCAATAATAAATATTCAAATAAAATGTTGAAACATATATTTTATGTGAAGTTCGATACAATATTTAACAATTGGTAGTCATTATTTACAAATAATTAATCAAAAGATTTATATAGATCTTTATTTTTATACAATGATTATTTTTGTCGCATATCCTCTTATAGTTTTCAAATTCTCGTATAACTAGTATTTAATATTTTTTAATTTAACTTAACAAGTATTGAATTTTTAGTATATTGATTTTTTATATTTCCTTTGTTATTACTTACTAATATAAATTTATACTTCCGGGTAATTATTTTTAATTTTGTTTGTTATATATTTTTTTACATATTGGCCCGCGGGCCAACCTGTTTAACTCACGGGTTAGGTGGGTTGGGTTAGGGTTGTAGAAATTCTGACCCGTCATTAAACGGGTTGGCTCGACCCAATCCACATATACCATAACTCGTCACGGGTCGGGTTGGGCCGGGTTGGCCCGTTTGACAGCTCTATTGATGGACGTACGTCCCCATAGCCCAAGGTCCAGAGGACGTACAAAGGACGTACGTCCCCATAGCCCAAGGCTTAGAGGACGATAGGCGACAGAGGATGAACGTCCCCATAGTCCAAGCCAACCGGAACTAAATCAATCCCAAGTATTACATTTTACTTCTATCTTGGGAGATGATATGTACATCTCGTTTTCTCCTGCGTTGTCCACTCTCAATAACTTTCTCTTATTTTTTTTGTAGAAATTCAAAGGCATAATATATTCAACACTTTAAGAAAAGGACAACTGCAGGCATACTGTAGTTGTCAATAAACTACTACTTCGTATTTACTAACTCAAATTATACAAATTGTCATTCCAACTGTACCTTTTTTATTTTTATTAAAGATAGTTGCCTAACTTATTCTAAATTAAAATGTTTCAGGTATTACCATCAATTGTCAATTAGAGTTATACTTTGAAAATAAATGAATTAGGAATAGTTTGGGACCTTAAGAGGTTGCCTTATTATGTACCACCATTTATTAAAATGAGATTTGCAGGTGGTATATGCTTCAACTACTTCAAAGCACCATGTACGAACGAAACCTCTGCATTTAACTGTTTTTTCATAAATGCATGCATTCGAAAAAATACATAATCATAAACAATCAAAGTACCAAATTTTATTAAATAGATATTACATGCAGAAATTTACATAAGCTATCGCTTTTTTATTACAATACAAACACTATAACAACTGTGTTATATTAGTATCAACATGCAATCTCCATCTCCCACAACATTTCATCTTCCACCCTCTAATCTTCAAAATTCAACTGAATGCCTAAAATATTTAAAAAGTAGGGTCAGATGCGATCAAAAAATTGCTGATTGCATAAACCTCTCCCTCTTTCATTGAATCCTTAAACTTTGCAATCAAAAATTACGAATCGTTCCATGGATACAATCACCCTAACATTTTAAAACTAAAAAAAGCCGCAGAGCATAAATATTAGTAAATAATAACGAAGTATATAGACTAATATTCATATTAAGTATACCTCTCTGTCGTGAAACACACATTCCAAAGTCCGAACTTCGTCATCTTCACTTCGTGAGTAATACATTCGCACCGGCCTTAGTCTCAAACTCCAAATCCTCGATTGAGGAGATACATCCCGAATCAAGCCGAACATAGCCGACATTGATCTGCAAATACTAAAGTCGAGTGATGCCAAGTTGTCTATTTGCTATGGTGGGCTGCAAAGATGCTGAAGTCCCTATTTATAACAAAAATTAGAACCCTATTTAATGCTCTCATGATTCACCTTTTTTTCAAGTTTAAAAGGCAGCAAAAAAAACAAAAGACATCACACAAAAATCAACAGACAAATCTTCACACAACCACATGCGTGAAACATCTTCGTGAAGATCAAATGACACACCATTTAATACCGCCCATTTTTCTAAAGGACTCCTCATATCCCGGCCAAACATTATAGCAGCACACAATTTGAATTTTGAAACCAAAATGCTGCCCAAATTCCCTCCCAAACTCCCCCCCCCCCCCCCACTTTTCCGTTTATATATATATATTACGTTTAGCTATAGCCTTGGATGTGGTTTTGTATGGAAACAAATACTCCATCCGTCCCGGTTGAATCTTGACGTTTATTTTTGGCACAGTGTTTTAGGAGCTCAATTAATAAAAGAACAAATGACTTGGATGCCCTCTGACTTTTGGGGGGAAATTAATGCTATCCACTCAAATATAAAAAGTGAGTGTGTGGTGAAGGGTAATTAGGACATTTAATGTAAAATGAGCTGTCTAAAAAGGAAACGTAAAGGAGTAAATGAGATGTCCCAAAAAGGAAAGTGTAAAGATTTAAATGGAATGGAGGGAGTAATTTTTTGCCGGGTATAGCTATAGCTATAGACCTATAATAAATAAGGTTTAGTGCAGCTATGCTATGTGTATGTCTTCTTCTTCATCATTAGCATAATGCCGCAAAGGCTCTCACCTACGGTGGGGTAAGGGGGGTCAGATGTACGGCCTTACCCATGTACTAAAGTACAGAGACATCGTTTCTGGATGATTCATAATGAAACTCATGTCAAAAATTACATAGACCGATTTTGATCTCAAAAAAGAGAAATGTCCCCTATGTGTATGTGTGTAATAAAAAAGTGAAACTAATTTGAAACACTCATTCACATACTTCTAGCTTTTAGTTTTTATGTGTTTATTTTAAGTAAAAATTGTCACTTTTAAGTTTTTAAGTGTCTGACGACCCTAGGTGTTTATTTAACTTTTTAAGCTAATAGATGAAAAATATCTTTTTGAGTTTTGGCCAACACACTCTAAAATCGGGTTTCAAATTAAAATGTTAAGTTGATAGGAGGAATAGTATGTATTACATATACTATATTATTTTATACTCACATTTTATGAGCGTGGAAAATATTTCTAACACAGAACCTTAGCCCTATTTTTATCAAGTTGATGGTGTACTCCTTTAATAATATTCTTTTTCATCTTTTTCCTGTCTCAAATTGTATCAACTATTGTACAAGTTGCTATCAAAATTTGTCCAAACTTATTTCATGTTTGAATTTTCACTTTGGCGTTTTCCGTATTTCGTTTAGATGCGTGATGCATCTAAACTCACATAAAATGTTGTGATACCTAAATAAATGTAATTTCCAATTGTCCCCATATTGTTCGATTTAAATATTCATTCTAAATAAATGTAATTTTCTGATTTAGTCTATTTAAATATGGTTTTGTTTTGATATTATAGATATTTATTCTATGTGTATTTTATGAGCTCGTTTGTTAACCCTTAAATCGAGTGAATCGATTGATTCTGTTGAAATTTATGAAGTTCTGAAGTGGCTGAATCGATTGATTCTGCTCATTATTGAATAATTATTGAAAAAAATAATTATTGAAAAAAATCCTACAGTATATTAAGAGCTTATTCAATATCAAATCAGTTGAATGTGTTGAAATTTCTGAATTTATATATGATTGAAATGTAATGGAAAAGCTACATGAAAAGACTAAAAGTAATCTATACCGCAAGTTAAACTTGAAAAGTCTTTGATAGTCTTTGATAAGAATGTCTGATCAAGCTTATAAGATGATAAAATGACTCCAACAATAAACTGATAATAATTTATACAATAATGAAGGGGTGTATCTTAAAACTTTGATCTATGGTTTAGTTGTGTATATGGGACTTTCCTTTGTGCCCAAAGTGAACTCTACTTTTGTCTCATAACAAAGGGGCGGGTAATTCATTCCGCTCATCTTTATCTTGTTTTCAATATAATGAAATAATAATGACATTGATATCACTAAAATAAAAAACGATAGCATACATGAAACCAGTGGAGGAAGCTAGGGGGGGGGGGGGGGGGGGGGCAAGGGGGGGCAAGCGCCCCCGCTCCGACTAATTTTTTTACTAGTATTACTTATAATATGTTTCTTGCCCCGGCTTCTTTTTTAATTTTAAAAACAATAAGTACAACTTAAGGTTATTTTAAGATGAAGTGTTAAAATAAATAAAAAAGTATTTTCAGAAAAAGTAAAAAAAATGAAATATAGAATAAAAGGGGATTAATGTATGTAATACATTTGGCATCCCAATTTGCCAATAATCCGGTAACAAATTATCATCACTTTTTTGGGATTGACAAATATGTTGTCACATTTCTTGCAACAAAAAGATCAGAACATTCTTGAGGCTGTGAGCTTGATTAAAAGCACTAAAGAGAAGTTCCAAGATTTGAGAGAAAGTGGATGGGAAGAGCTATTAGAAGATGTCAGTAAATTTTGTGTGAAGAATAAAATTGACATTCTAAACATGGAAGATACAACTCATCGTTCTAGACGCGTTCGCCATCCGGTAACAAATTATCATCACTTTCGAGCTGATATTTTTTATCAGGTATTTTTTATTAAAATTTAAATTATTTATTAGTTGTTATTATTATTATTATCATTATTATTATTACTATTACTACTACTTTTTATTATTACCTTATT